GGCCGAGGCGGGAGGGAGGAGGCAGCCAGCAGGTAAGGCATTGCAGCCAGTCCTGGAGCTTGACCCTCAGGACACCTCTGCTCCCACCTCACCTACTTGCTTAATGACCTTGAGCACTTTTTTTTTTTATCCCCATGGGATGTGCTGGGTGAGGAGGATGGGTGGCCTTGGGCAGCCGTATCACCTTTCTGGGCTGCTTCTCTTTGGCAGCAGTGAACTGGTTTCCTAAACCTCAGCAGGCCCTCTAGGAGGTCTGTGCTCCAGGATGAAAGGCAGTGTGGTGCCATGGTCTCATGGAAATCCATGGCTGTCAGGGCAGGAATATCTGGGACTCCCTTCAGCCAAACGCTGCCATGTGTGCTCTGGAGAGACACAAATCCAGAACGTAATTCTGTCTATGCCATCTCCCCCTTTCCCTTATCCCCTCGTGTCCTTCCTGTGCTCATTAAACTTGAGCCAAAGCATGCCCTGAATGTGCTGGGAAACCTGCTCCCCTTAATCCAGCATTGATACTGTCTGCTTGGTTTAGTTTGCTGTTTTCCTCCCTCTATTTCCCACTTCTGTGCTTTTGTCACTTTGCATTTCTCTCTTTGCAGAAATAGCCTGATGCCCCACTGTGGTGGCACTTTCTGTTCTTGCCATTCCTCTCCCAGTCCAGTGAGTGGCAGTGGGATGGCTGATGAAAGCAGGTCTTCACCCAGCCCCATTTTATGGTCAGCTGGATAACACGAGTTTTTGGAGTGCCCATTTCAAGCTGTCAGATGCTATAGAGAGCTACAGGCTTGGTCAGAGTGCCTAGTGGCTAGTTGACATGTGGCTACTTGCCATGCAGCTTGTAGAAAGGCTTAGGGTCTCTGCCTGCTGCCTGCTCCAAAAAGGCAGCAGCAGACTGACTCATCCATGTCTAATGGGCCTGCTGTAGAGACTTGAAACCTGCTCTCACTCACCTCGGTGCCTCTCTCTACAGACAGAGCCCAGTGGTGGAAGCAAAGCCCTACAGATGTCACGAGCTTGTGGGAATGGCTCTGTCTTAGGTTCTCATGTTTATGTCTGTAGCAGTGCTGTTTGTGTTTCTTGCTTCCTCTTTCCTTCACTCTGACATGGGGGAGGCCTTTGTCTTGAGGGTTTGGGATGACAAGCTGATGACATGCAGAAGCTTTAGCTCTCTGCTGTCTTGCTGTGCTTCCTGTCTAACAGAAGACTTTCTTGTTGTCCAAGCCCACATTCTCGGCACACACTTCCAAGCCAAGGAGCCTGCAGGAGCCAAGAACCCTGTGGTCCCCCACAAAATTTTAGCCTCCTGTGCATCCAGGTCACAGATGTTCAGCATCCCCTCAGGCTGCACAGGCTACCCCCACCACCTCAGGCCCCCACCACTTCTGTCGACAGCCCCTTTCTCCTTGTAGGCAGAACCCCTTTGTAATCCTCACAGACCTGCTCTCCAGCACCAGACACTCTCCCCACTACACACCTGCCTCTTCACACAGCCAAGAGCAGCCTGTAAGAGCAGGCAACCCTGGAGTGGCAGGCACCACAAAGACAGTTTGTGCCTCTTGTCAGGAGGGTAACAATGGGAAAAATATGGGACAAAGATGAAACAAGGACATGGACACCCTTCTGGGGTCCAGCAACACCTCCAGGCTTTTGAGTGATTGCTTAGTAGCCTCTCAGCCTAGGACAGAAGAAGACAGGGTTTGGTAGTACCATACCTCTGGATGGTATCCAGCTTTGTGTCTGACATATTTCAGCAGGTTAAGGAGTGTGTCTTAGTGGGCTTCAGAGTCACAGCTCTCATTATGACTAGGAAGGAAATTGGGAACTATTGGTTGGGCTCAGCAGTCAGAAGATGTGTCCTGAAAATGGCACTGCACCCCCACTCTTCTGAGATGTCAGTAGAAGGAAGGGCATGAACCATGCAGAAGGATTTGCTGGACAAAGGAGAGATGGGTAGATTTATCATTGCAGTTACAGGGAAGGAAGTGAGACTGGCACTGCAGCTCTTCCACCTGGGCTGGCCAGAGAAGCCTCCCACAGTTCCCAGCAGCCAGGCACCTGACAGAAAGGTGTTGGGGTAATCTCTCTTGTTAGAATTTTCCTATGCAGGCAGCCTGAAAGACTTTGCATCTTGGCAGCTTTTATCTGGACTAGTAGCCCAGATTGTTTAGGAAGTTTTTGCTTTAGATCTTTATCTCATCTTTGTCCTCTATAGAGACCCCTTAAGACAGGACGAATCAGAAGGAGCTCAAACTATTTCCCCCGTGCTCTTCAAATTTATCCCCCATGTTCCTGGTACAGAATTACTGACTCTTCTCACCTGGCACACACAGCCACCTTTCGCCTCTCCCTCTCCACTTCCATGTCAAATTTCTCACCACCTTCCTTCTCTCCTCAGAAGCCCCTTTCTGGTAGGCAGGGAGCTACGCAGCAGGCAGGGAGCATGCTCGCAGTCATACAGCTGTGCTTTATGTCTTGTGTACCTTTTCCCATTGTCTCTTTATTTCCAGAAGTATCCTCAGCTTCGTCCAGTTGTGGGAATTTCTGTCAGTTAACACCCGATTCAGCCACCAGCCCACACTCAGCATCTTTGTCCCCACAGCCTATGGCTAAGTCTCAGAAGGGCAGAGAAGATGGCACAGAGGGGCTGAGGAAGGCCAAGAGCCGCACGGCGTTCTCCAAGGACCAGCTGCAAACCCTGCACCAGCGGTTCCAGAACCAGAAGTACCTCAGCCCCCAGCAGATCCGGGAGCTGGCTGCTGCCCTGGGGCTCACCTACAAGCAGGTGAACACAGAGACTTTGATCTATGGTGTATCTGTCATAGCAGCTGAATGGTCACGTACAGCAGTGATAGGACAGAAACAGGGACCTGCAGCAGAAGTTAGAGGGAAAGGTGCCAGCTAACTGTTGCTACTCCACCTATTCATGCCCAGAGATCAGAAGTTTTGCGGGCAACAGGGGAGTCACTGGCACCTCAGTGAAGTCTCCCCAGTGAGGGTTGAGTTAAGGGCACTGTTGCAAACACTGGCAGTAGAATGGCAGACATAGTGATGAAGATGTTGTTTGTCACAAACAGCCTCTGCTCTGGGCTTGACACCTCTTTGCAGGATTTTTCCAGGCAGTGGTGAACTTCAGAGACACCCTGGCATGCATCAGTTCTCTGAATCCCAAGGCTGCAACATGCTGGAAGCTACAGCTAATGTTTCCCAGGACTAATCTTGTCTAATATCTAATAATGTCCCACTCTCAGCACTGCCTGGCTGCACCAGGTCCCGCCTCCGTGTGGGTACTGCTGGGTTCATGCATCACAGCCCTTCAGGGCCTTTGCTGATCTCCAGATAGTTTGTATGGGCAGTGAAACGGTGGTGCTGACTCAAACGATGCCTTTGTAAAGCAGAGGGGCTGGGCAACAGAGCAGGCAGTGACAAGCCCAAAATCCACATGGAATTTTAATCTCAGAGTTGGGTAGGATGACCTGGATGGCCAGGGATGCCCTGTTACTAAAAGATTTATAAATGCACTGTAGGTGCACACCTATGCACTCACACACTGCACTAGTTCTGTCAGGAGCCAGTGGGACAATCGATCCTTCCCTTCAATCCACATCCCTGCAAAGGCTGCTCCCACAGCCCAGACACCGCCCCGGGGCCAAAGGGCTCTGGAATTCACCCCTGCAAGGAGCTTTGAGTTTGGGAGCTGCTGGGTACAGGAAGCAAACCTGTCCCTTCTCGGTTCACAAACATGCAGAAATAAGTTTGCCTGTAGCACGGAGAACATGTAGAGACCCAGGTGGGTCTCATTCCCTCCAGTTGTTCATTGCCATGGGGGAAATGAGTCGATTTGTCACAGGTATAACTTTCCCGTGGGTGTGATGCTGCTCCCTGCCCCCATCATGCAGATGAACCAGCCACCTGCTGAGGCTGCTAGACAGGCATCTAGCCTTGGCAACATCCCCAGGGAGCTCTTAAAGGCCTTTATCTGCTGCTGCCTATATATCTATGCCATCTGGTCACTCTTCAGCTGCTCATGAATTTGACAACCTTTGCTCTTCCCTCTCCTTTGCTCTCTGCTCTCCCATTCCCACCCAGGTGAAGACTTGGTTCCAGAACAGGAGGATGAAGCTGAAAAGGTGCCAGAAGCATAGCCTGTGGACTGACAGGGCTCAGTGCCTCATGCAAGTAAGAGCACAGGACATGGCTCAGTCTGACCCTTCTACCTGGGCAGATAAATCCTGTGAGATATTTCCTCCACAGTGGCAACTCCAGCACATACGTATCAGGGTACCCTGCCTGCTTGTGCTGAGCACAGAGGCACAGACTTGGCATGGATCTCCATGGGCTGTAGGTAACCTAGCAAGGGGCTGACTATGCCATTGAAATGCTTCCAGAGAAAAGCTGGTTTTCTTATATATATGACTGTGTATCCACCCCTGAGCTAAGGGGGTGGAAATGGTTCTTCTTCCCTCCCATGCTGTTGGTGTTGATCAAGAGAAAACATGAATTGTGAAGTGACAGAGCCCCAGTATGTGTCAGGACTGTGGACACCAGTGGAGAAGCTGTGTGTTCTGATTCACTGCCTTTCTCTTTCAGAGTGGCTTCCAGTCAAGTACTTACCTGGACGTGCACCCCAAATTCCACCAGAGCTACCCAATGGGTGCAGCCAGCAACATCCCAGCCATGCCTCCCTCCTGCCAGCACTACGGAGCAGGGCAGAACGCTTACACAATTGTGACCAGTGAGGATGGAGGAGTCTTTGGCAAAGGTGGGGGCACCTGCAGAGTCCAGCAGACAGTGGGCTTCATTGCCCAACACAAAGTAGACTTTTACCACGGCTGTCCTGGCAGTGTGGAATACCCAGGCACAAAGACAGGTGATGGCTGTGACTTCCACCACTCAGCCACCATGGGGGCTCCTTTCCCAACCACTTCTAGTCACCAACTCTATCATTCCTAAGCACTGTGAATATGGGGTACTTGGGCACCTGGGGATAAAATCCTGTTTTCATCTGTCCCTTTGTTATTCATGTGGTCTTCAACTCAGGGTCATAACTTAGCTAAAACCTGTTTTGGCATCCAAGTATGTGCCTGCAAGCATGTACAGACACACAGACATGGAGATACCTACTTGCCCATACATCTACATATAGCCCTTCACTTGCATGCCCTTACACATCCACACATACATCCCTCTCTTTAGTACAGACAACAAAGTTCCCATATAGCAAGACCCAAAATCTGGCTACCTAGATTACCCCCTTAGTTTTCTAGGTTGAGGATACTGTAAATTGTCTCAGATGAAGTGCAGCTTTCTTTGGGGACCTCATTTCTACAAGTCACGGTACAGTTCTGTATACATAATGAGTGAAGCCATGGGCTGTGAGAAGAGGTGCTGCTCACATACCTTTTGCCAAAGCTGAAGAAGTTATTGTGAGACACCAGGCATCCATGTGATGGTTAGACCACCACGCCTGTAGGTCAGCCACAAGGTATAGAATTGGTGAAGTGTCTGGTGAAGGGAGATGTCACAAGTGGCTTGCACAAAGGCTGGTAAGCTTATAAGCATAAAAATTATAAGTAAGCCCTTTGTTCTAATCTGTATCTTTCTGTGTCTCCCCTCAAGGAAACCTAACAGTGCATTCAATTTGGCAAATAAAATATTTTTCAAGATTCTGTATTTTTCAGTATCTTTTTTCCACTGCAATAGAGCATTGCAATATGAAATCCAGATGGAACTTTAATAGCCATAGCAACTGTATGCCATTGTTATTGCTGGTTTGACTCTGAAATAATAAAGATATTTTTCTGTGTTATTAGTGGATCAGCTTCATAACTCTTGGCAATGCCAGATATCAAGAGTCAAAGGACCAGGTGAGTAACCACCATCTACCTGAAGATTTTCCTCTACCCAGCAATATTTAATGCTGGGACTGGCTAAAACATAGAGGTACCATAATTTCTAAGTTTAATGTGGTATAAATAAACATCTAAGGACCTAAAACCACATGTGTCTATCAAAGTGTATTTAATAACGACACCCCAGTTCCCTGAGTCACAGTTTTTTGGTCACTCTTTGATGATGACCATGACTTTATCTTGATGCAATGAAGTAGCTGTTATGGTTCAAAAAATGAACAGAAAATGAAGGTGATTGATGCCTGCAACTGGAGTGGCATAGTCTTCTGTTAGCAAAGCTAGTTTATGATCCTGTGCCTCACGGCTCTTATTTTCCACTCCCACAGCTTCCTGCAACAACTCTTTGACCCTTTGTTTGTTCAGCTACACTGTTCATACAGATGTACTGTAAATTGTGGGGTCAGCATGATTTGGGGAAAAATTAGGCCTTTTGGAGGGCAAAATTCTAAGTAATATAATTTTGGATATCCATTTTAAAGCACAGCCCCCTACACACCTTGTCCTACACCATGTGCTCAAACTGGGGAAGGTCTGTTTTTGCAACCACTGCATCATCAGAGGGTGGGGATTGATTGAGTTAGCTCTGCTGAGGAGGTGCTGGTTAACATCTGAAAGTGGACTACAATAGCAACCATTAGCAGGGCTCTCACAAGTGGAAGGAGATTTTTCAGGTCCTTTGGAGCCAACATTACTGCTATTAACCTGAATACTATCCAAAATCTTTCCACACCACCCTATTAAAGGCTGCTGTAGGTGGAAAGGTTGAGCTCACAACTGCCTCTCACTGACAATTCTCTGAAAAATTAGTCATCTGTCATGGTCCATTCCTTCAGAGATGCTTTGGGACAGGCTGGATCTTGGTGAAAAGTCTCTGGTACTGGCTATTAAAAGGATGATGGTCATAAGAGTTATGATCTCCCTGCTCTTGACCTTGAGCAAAGCTGTTCTAAGGAACACTACCAAATCTTGCAGTTCCCTCAAGAGACCCATCACATTTTTCAGAGGCCATCATTCAAAGACAGAACTTATCCTCACAGGTGGTTCTGGAGATCAACAGCCTGCAGCAATTCAAACAGGCAAGTAAGTCATTTCCAGGAAAGGAGTTCATTGATGTCTGCTGCATTCCCAAGGACATGTAATGCCAGCAGGAATGCAGCTCATGTTACAGGCGGTCCCTCCACCACCACCGGCCCCAGAGAGACACTGGGGACTTG